CCCTTCTTCGATTGCTTTAGTGATTTTATCAACAAAATCCAGTACAGCAAATTCTGTTGACCTGTTGCGTCTGAAACCATACTGATGATTTGATAATATATTGTTCTTATCAATAAAATTTATTGGTCTGTTTACCATAAGCTTTTCCAGTAGTTTAGAAAAACAAGTAAGGACTGATATAGGTCGGTAATTTTCAAATCTATTTTCTTCATTGCCTTTAAAAATTGGCGTAACTAATGCGATTTTTAAGTTATCTGGAATAATTCCTGATGAAAATCATAAGTTAAAAATATGTGTTAATGGCTTAAAAATTTCCTTAGCAGTTATTTTTGTGATGTTAGCATTAATACCATCATATTCAGAACTTTTGTTCAACCTCATATTTTCAAGTTCTAATTCAAGTTCATGTTCCATAATCGCATTTAGAAAAAAGTTTGACTGATAACTGACAGAAAGATATTTTTCAAAACTCTCATTTTCATTGTGTTTGATTTTGTTTGCTAGAGTAGGACTATGTTAATAAAGTAGTCATTGAATTTGCTAGTTATTTCATTCGGGTCTTCAATTATGTTTGATGAACAACTTTCTACAAACGTTTTTGATAGTTTTTTTTAGATGGTTTATTTAATAGTTCATTTAGCGTTTTCCACATCATTTTTGAATTTTTCTTGTATTTAATTAACTGTTCTTCATAATAAATTTTCTTTGCAATTTTTATGATATGGTTTGGTTTATTTTTATATTTTGTGTATTTTTGCCTATTTTTATTATTTGGATTTTTAAGAAGGATTTTGTATAATTTATTTTTATTTTTAACTGACTTTAATATACACCTATGGTCATCCATGGACTCTTTATTTTATTTATTTTTGTTTTGTTTTCTTTTCTTTTCTTTTAAGTGGAAAATTTGCCTCATATACACCCATAAATAAATTCAAAAACTCATTATAAGCCTTTTCAGGGTCATTAGATTCGTTTAATACTTCATTCCAGGAAATATTTTTAACTGCGTCTTTGAACGATTCTATGTTAGCAGTTACTATATTCTCTTTGACAGGTTACTGTAGTCTCATTTGTGTTTCTGTCGTTATCCAATATAATTGAATTAAAAATGTGTACAATTGGTAAATGGTCTGATATATCGCTAAAAACAACACCATTTACACTACCATTAAGTTTTTCTAAATTATTTGTGAAATATAGCGTTGCAGTGTCATCAGTTATTCGTGTTATTTGCCCCCCCCCCGGGAGGGCAAAAATGTAGGGGGGCGAAAATCCTGGGACACCGTTCAAAATTATATTATGCTTTGCACCTGTATGGCTGCACTACAGTTATAAATATTGCAGTATTAAATATAATAAATGACTTAGGAAAAGTAAATAGACCCCTTCCCGTGTTGCACACGTTGCAGGCAGGCAAATGTATTTTAAAAGCTCCAAGGAGAGCTTCGTATTATTATGGTGTCAGTTAAAGACACTGGGGAATGTATGATGTGAATAATTGTTCGGTGTGAATAAAGACCAGCGTAATCACAAGACTCTGATTTGAAAAGATCAATGTTAAAATCACCCATTAAGCAACAGATCTTATTAAATAACAGATCTAATTTGTTCGAAATACTTTGTATGTTTAAATGCATTATTGAAAATTTTGCTTGTATATTTTCGCATTCTATTCGTTTTTTGAAATCCTCTGGTAAGTAATATTCACACTGAATCTTGTTTGTATTAAAGGATGAATCAAGGTCCGCATTATTGCCGGAAAGCGCTATGTTCGATTTGTTTCAAAAGGAATAAATCGTAATTGGCTTAGTCTATCCATATCGGGATACGATTGTTTTATTGTTGGATCATTCAACGTTTCAAACTCGTTATCGTTAAGATTTTGAAACGATAAAATATTATTGATATTATCTATAGAATGTTGCGTCATGGTTTATACTAATATTAGAGTAATATATAAAGATTGAATATTAGATAAATTGAAAATATGCACACAGAAAGATTGAAATTTGATACCCAACTCATGCCGTGTTGGACTCGACATATAGTTGACCTTCAATATATAATTTGTCCCTCACCATTTTAACCCGCTTGTGTTCTTGTATTGCCTTTTTCAAAACCGGGTAGAGACTTTTCCTGACTTCATGAGAGTCATGAAGTTTCATGAGGGTCATTTTCAATTTTTCATCTTCTGATGGATGTGAACGAATGAATAACTTCTGAATGTTCACATTTAGATTCTTGTAGTCATAACATCCATAACTAATTCACTCGTTCACATCCATCAGCAGCAGAAAATCTCTTCTGAAGTTGCACTGTTTTACAAAAATTGCAAGTGTAAACAGGCATTCACATGTACATGTGATTGGCATCTCCTTCACTGGTATGGAATGAAAAGGCACAAACCTTAGCATGTTTTGTGGACAGTTGTGTTGAGTGGTGCAACAACGACGCACAAAAACGCTAAAAGTAATAAAGTTGTCATTGCAGGCACTGACTGTCTTTGTGCACACCAAAAATACCGCATTGCTGTCCAGTACATAAAAATAGAAGATTTCATACACCACTGGCTTCACTCTACGCAGGGGGAGGGGTCGATCTAGACTTGTAAAAGCTAAGGGGTAAAAATTACCCTTAATACAGGAATACGAGAGTACGAGAATACGGAGAGAGAATAAGAAATGTCGAACGTGGTGTTTTCACGCCTTTAGTTCTATCAACGATCGGCGGCATGGGAAGAGAGGCTGAAACGTTTTATAAATGTCTAGCGGATATGATATCCAATAAGAGACAACAAAAATATTCCGCGACCATAGGTTGGCTACGATGTAGAATGTCGTTTGCATCGTTACGATCTTCAATAATGTGCATTCGTGGAAGTAGATCCTCGAAACATCGGCCCATATTCAGGGATTCCAACATCTCCCTGGCAACTTCCGAGGCACGGATCCCTCGGCCTCGTGAATAACTTGATTGAGGACTTACGTATTGACATTAATAAAACAGTTAATAAATATATTTTTAATAATAATAATAATGTATAACGCATGCTTGAAATGTTACATATTAATAAATCTATTGTTATTTGATTAATACAGGGGTGTAGATCATTTTCCACAGAATGATCCGATTTTGGGGGTAGAATTAGAATTAATTAAAACGGGGGTAAAAATTACCCCCACAGAATTGAGTAAAAAATACCCTTGTTAAGTTTGTAAAAATTTTGCCCCATTTTTGGGGGTAAAATATTTCAACCCCTGGAAAGGGTGCAAAACGCATTTTACTCCAGCTCTAGGGGTAAAAATTACCCCAGCTTTATGGAGTTAAACGCTTACCCACTTTAGGAGTAAGATTTATACTCCCATATAAACTATAAACATAAGAAATGCATTGATGAAAGGAGAAACACATTAGGCCGTGGGCTGTTGTGCAAAAAAGTGCCTAGAAAAGCAATTTCGTGGCACCCTCCTGGGAAATAGATTTTCTGTGGTTCAATTCATAGAACCATAGATGCTTAATTACCACAAAAAGTTCCCAAGCAAAAAACCTGCCCAACACCGAGAAAATGGGTGATCAGTGATTATCCTCTATTAAATTGTATTACAGCAAGGAAATGTAAAATTTTGTATTCCATTACAACAAAAATGACTTGCATTATCAGAAAGTTTACAAAAACCTACATATAAGACATTTAAACAGTTTTTTTTATATCTATAATTGTTTTCGAGTTATACGCTGTCAAAAACGCGTTTTGGACCTAGTACCCAGTCCTTATTGCGACATTTTGGTCCAATTTTCACATTTAAAACAGCAATAACTTAAAGACTATTTGAAAAATAAAAAAACTGTTTAAGAGTCTTATATGCGGTTTTTGTACGTTTTCCGATGATGCAAGTCATTTTTATTGTAATTGCATACAGAATTTCCCATTTTTTTGCTGTAATACAATTTAATAGAGGATAGTCATTGATCACCCATTTTCTCGGGATTGGGCAACTTTTTTGCTTGGGAACTTTTTTTGGTAGTGATGTACCTATATGCCTTTCAAATAAACCCCAAACCAAGTATTTCCCACATGGGTGCCACAAAGCGAAATAATTTGGCCAACAGCCCACGGCCTAACAACGAATGTATTAAAAAGTAACTGCAGATATATATATATATATATATATATATATATATATATATATATATATATATATATATATATATATATATATATATATATATATATATATATATATATATATATATATATATATATATATATATATATATATATATATATATATATTATATATATATATATATATATATATATATATATATATACATTACATATACAGTATATGCAAGCATGCCAACAGTGATTAATTGTTTCTATCTATTCCGCACTCATATAGTGCTCAAGTTCTTTCGTAAATTTCTGAATGGAAATTAGTTTTTTGGCCCTCGGAATTCTGGACTCCAAATATTGCAGAGTCGTTGAACAGGAACACAATGTCACAGTCACCAGTTCGTTCCCTTCCACACAAATGAGAACGGGACTTAACTTAAAAGGATCCTCCCCAACACCTATCAGCACAGTAAAGGTAGTTGCTCGAATGTACTCCTTCGAATCATCGTCTTCCTACAGAAAACAAAATATGAGAATTGGTGTTTGACCGTCAAATCACAAACAGAGGCTGACAGGCTTGGTATACATGCATGTCGCACCACTTGGCACCAGAAAAATGCATTGTTTCATCGTGCCACAGCAAATTTAACATCGTCTATCGTTTCATATATGATGATATACGGTATAACATACGGCAATGCACGAATCTATGATGTATATCATCATATAGCTACTCCATTGTCCCACAAAGATTGGACAATACTTCTTTCTACATAAGTAACACTGTAACAGTCTATTAGGGTTGGGAATGGTAGCGTTAGGGGTTGATTTGGATTAGGGTTGGATTAGATTTAGGAGTAGGGTTACAGTATAGTGGTAGTGTCATAGATTAAGGAATGAATAGATGGCTCACTCCTTTGATGTTTTTGACGCTGCCGGCGCCCACGCATGTTCTTGCCAGAGTAATGGCGGCCTAGCAAGTAACTGTAGTAAAATGCATTGTAAAATTGACATCGGTGCTACTAAATTCTGTATTTTTATAATTCTGATTTATCTTTCTATTAAACCCGCCAAAAGCGGAAAAATACAGGATTTAATAGCACGGATGTCAATTTTACAATGCATTTTACTACAGTTACTTGCTAGGCCGCCATTACTCTGGCAAGAACATGCGTGGGCGCCGGCAGCGTCAAAAACATCAAAGGAGTGAGCCATCTATTCATTCCTTAATCTATGGTAGTGTTATGATTCATGCATTTCCGTATGTCATATATCCCTCATCATTAACAAGGGGGGATTTCGTTCTCGACCAATCAGCGCTTTTGTTTTCATTTTTGCTCTAAGCCAATCAGAATGCGTAAAACGGTCATCACATGAAATTTGTAAACAAACATATGGGGTCACTTCACAGCCTTGCTGCAAGCGTTTTTATTTGTTTTTTTTTGCCTTGAAATTGATATATATTGTTCTTAAAAGAATTTTCTTCAACTTCCTCGTGGGGATTTTTGATTATTGGCGTGATTGCGAAGATATGGGTCTTCAAACTTTGCCTTGCGCAATCTGAAATACTACCACTCGAATTTGTAGGTACAGAATGGGTTAGCGTTTTTAAAAGCCTTTCAAATCGAGGTTTGAGAGGTTTTATTTTTAAAAGACACTTTATCTTCATATTTTCACATTAACTTATTAATATCCTGTGTGACAAGTAAACAGGAAACTTCCGGGCCGGGACAAGTTGACATGTCGATTTTTTGCTGACTGAGCGTGGCGATCATGGCGTTTATGAATACAGGGAATTTTTAAGATTTTGTTGGTATAATTTGGGTTAAAGAAACTAATCAAATATTTGGACTATGGACCTTCAAACTTTTGCCAAGTATTCATTTGATTGATTAGCTCAATAACTGTTTTTTGGCTCGTTTTTCGTCGATTTCGACATCTGGTGAACCTCAGGATAATGTGTCCACATTGTGTTGCAGCCTGTGGACATGAACATTTTCGTTTGTCTGACAATAACACTTGTCTTCATTGTTTTTAATCCTTGAATGACAACATATTCATTGGTCTCGTTGTCCTAACTTAAGGAAGATGGATGACTTTGGGACAGAATGATTTTGTTAAATGTTGCTGTTCAGATATCAAAATTTTATATGGACATATGAACTTCATTGTTTTTACTTCATCTGGCTCACTAGTCACAATTGGGCCCTGTTCATATCACCTGGCTAGGCGGGATACAACATTTGACAGTATGTTGTATCCTATCCTGCTACTATCCTGGCTAAGCGCGAGGTTTCCATTGACAAAATCCTGGCTATATGAAAGCCAAGAAATTCACCGTACACAGTAAACACTCTATCCCAAACAGGGAACATGAATTAGGCTTCAAGCATGTGTTCTGGATAGCCTAGATCATATAAACACTGGTCCCCAATAGATCCCGAGACTATAATTGGAACATCTTAGTCCATAAATTTGTGCATTACCAGAATACCTGTGCACAAATGAATATTTTACACATATTATATAATAATGCAATCCCATATTAAGCCCCCAATAACCTCACAAATAGGCCTTGCTTCCGAAAATAAGCTCTCCCTTCCAAAAATAAGCTCTCCCTTCCTAAAATAAGCTCTCCCTGTTAAGGGCTGTCAAAATGGGCCATCAAACATGGTTGCTTTTTCTTTTCAGGGCTAGCTTGTCATTTGCCTCACAGGAGTCAGGCTAACCTGCATGGCAAGTGTTGGCAGGAAATTTGTGTGAAATGCCAGTTAATTTGTTTATGGCAACAGCTCCAGAAGGCTTGTATTAATTATTTCCTTACTTACTTGGGCCAAATTGTGTATTATAACATGATTTTTAATCATGACCTTTAGTGCGAGACTCCCAGTGCAAGATATCAACTTGCTCAAGCAGAAGCTGGGCCAGGCAATTCAACCAGGCTGGTTCATGTGAATGCAATCTCAAACATATATAAAATTAATATACGAGGCAGTATCTCACCACGGGCAGGTATATATTTAGCCCAGGGCGAAGGGAGAGAGGGCGTAGAAACGGCCATACATCGAGCGGACCCATCCGTGATGCGGGCTTCGCGGGGGGTAAGACGTTCTAATTGTAAACAAATATGGCTACGCGTATATGACCCATCAGAAGGTATGCTGAAACTATTGTTTCATAAAATATTACTTGTGTAAAATTTATATGTTTTTGTTACTTTCAGCTATTATAAGAAACTTAAAGATAAGATTTAAGTAACGAAACACTTTATTTCGGGTGTTATTTTATTTCTATACTCTGTTTAATTTGGTGGTTAAAAATGGCCGTCGAAATGTTGTAAGAGAGTGTTAGCGCGCGCACTGCTTCCTGATAAAAACCCAATGATTTCCAAAACCTAAATTATAGTTTGTTATTATTAAGTTATGATGAAAACCTTTGCGTAGACAAAATTATAGAGTGAGCAAACATGAGACAGATAGGTTTTGAACCTTTCAAAGTTCGAGGTCGAATTGACAGTTGAAATAGTACCAAACTCCAAGCTGAAGTGTGCAACTTTATCATGTATATTTTTGTTAATTTTGTTCACTGGCCTTTGCTAAATTTACTTGCAATAGCTCGACATAAGTTACAACATACAAACTGAGCAGAGCCCATGAAAAAGCTATCCATATCCCTACTGTCATGCAACTTCCTTGCTATTTAGAAGTGATTGCCCATTAATAGTTGAAGAAGAATTACTATTGTATGCGCTTGTTTGCACTTCGTTTCCTGAAAAAGGCTACAATATTAAGGCTAAATAGCAGAGAAATATGACCCAATAATCCATGCAATTAAAAATATCTATCAAATTAACTTCAAAAATCATGATTTGAGGAATTATATCTATTCAGGCAACCCATAATTTAGTGACAGGTCTTGGCAAGGTGAAAGCTGAAAGGAACCTTTAAGATGGGTGTACTACAAAACTATATTGACTGAAGTTTTGGAAACATTTAACTAAATTTTGAAGGATTGACTCGCAAACTGTGATTCAGTTTCTGAATAAGTTGTGGCTCTGTTAGTGCCATTTCTTTCATTGTTTATATATCTTGCTTTTAAGCATTGCTCACTTATAAAATCTTTCAATTCCTTAGGGCCTGTTTATATTATCCCGCCTAGACGGTACAGGATGTTTTCATCCCGCCAAGCAGGATACTCGCCTAGTGTTTATATGGACAAAATACATTGCCAGGAAGAAACCATTCGGTGCTTGACGTCATATTTTTGTTGCAATAAAGCATACATGTCCAATACCTATGCAAGATGTCCGATGGAAAAATCAAAAGGCCATTGGACATTCCATTTGTCAAATGGATCAAATGGACCTCCAATTTTCCATTGGACTTTTGCGTGTCCATTGGATCCAATGGACAAATGGAATGTCCATTGGCCAGCAATGGATCAACTATCGGAACTATGCATCACCGAATAAGAGACCATGTGAAGTTTGCCGATCGGAATAATGCATCAACCGGATAAGAGCTTCCGCGTTTTTACCATTACGTAATTAACAGGTTGCAAGATCCCATGTGGACATGATTATGAAACCAGAGAGATGTTCCAATTGTCCAATGGATCCAATGGATCCAATGGACCAATTATTGTCCAATGGAATTTTACCTGTCCATTGGATCCAATGGACAAAATAATCTGTCCATTGGAAAATTACCTGTCAATTGAATCCAATGGAAAAATAATATGGAAGTCAATAGACATTTCTTATATCAATAATACAACAATATGTTGTTGCTTCGTTCTTAACAACTCACGCAATATATCATATAGCAATATATAATATGTTGGTGTTTCTTTCTTAAATTAAGAAACCTACACGGAATATATCAATATAATATGTTGTTGCTTCGTTCTCAAGAGACCACGTATATAACGCGGAAAGGAAAGATCCTTATATCAATCATGATATAATATGTTGTAATTGCTTCGTTCTTAAGAAATCACGCAATATATCAATATAATATGTTGTGAACGTTCGGTTAAGAAACGTTCCTTTGTTTTCAAGAGACGCGCAATATATCAATATAATTTTCCTTCGTTCTCAAGAGACCACATATACATAACACGGGAACGGGAAGATCCTTATATCAATAATATAATATAATATGTTGTTGCTTTGTTCTTAAGAACTCACGCAATATATCAAAATAATTTTGCTTCTTTCTCAAGAGACCACGCGTGCATAACACGGGAACGGGAAGATCCTTATATGAATAAATAAATATAATATGTTGTTGCTTCGTTCTTAAGAACTCACGCAATATATCATATGGCAATATAATATGTTAAGTTCTTTCTTTCTTAAATTAAGAAACCTACACGCAATATATCAATATACTAGGTTACCCACAGGGCAGTAATGCTGCCTTTGACAGCAAAAGACAAACTACAGGGTGTTGAACGACTCCTTCAGAAACATCCTATTATTTTTATCCTTGTTAACCCATTTATTGACAGTACCCTACCACTGACTGAGTATTAAAAATCGTCTGGCGTTGGACAGGGTAAATACTAAAGTAGGGGTCATTACTGTGCTGATGGATTAACAAGAGCCATTGGCAGATTACTGGCAGTACCCTATACCACTGACGAGTAAAATCTTCTGGCGCTGGACAAGGGGAGGGTGCATTACCAGCTAATGGGTTAAACCACCGAGGTTAAAAATAAGATTTGATGCTCCAGGAAATGTAAACAAGCTATCAGTGTGACATCCCAGTTTATATATTTATATACTCGAAATATTGATTTCTCGGTATATACAAAATTATTTTAAAGTATAACAACCAGCGAAGACGTAAGCCACTAACTACCCTGCGCGGCTGCGCGCAGACTATATAATGACATATATATGTCATCCGTCCGGCCCGTCCGTCGCCATCCGTCCGTCATTCATCCGTCCGTCCGTATCCGCGTTTTATCCTAACCCGTTTTCAAAACACAAAGTTTGCATAATTAACTGCAGTGCGGTTCGTCATCAATCAACATTTTCAAAAGCGGCCAATTAGACCAGGGGTTAAAGGGCAATGACAATGACATGCAGGTGACATTTAATATTGGATCTCACTAATTAAAATTTGCGTGTTTAATCAATGTTTATCAAATAAAGCAAAAATATATACAAGACAATCTCACATGTGGAATCTTTTCACTTACGGACTGCCTTGTGATGCAGTACAAGTATGAATACAAA